GGCATTTTGTCAGAGGGACAGTTAGAAAAGGCCGCCTCGTAGATCGGCATTCGGACTGGCATTCACTGCCATAAATGGCCCCGCATGGGAAATGTGATGAAGTATTTTCCTTCTTTTCTACCTCGCCCCCTCCCTCTCTCGCTTTATCATTTTCTTTTGCCTGGGAAATCGTAGCGCTTTGAATGCTTAAGCTGGGTTTGACATTGACATTGGCATTTGGCAGAAATTGTTTACCTTATAAATTTAGCCAGATGTTTTTGTTCTTTTGCTGCATTTACTTAAATAATTCCTGCAAAATAAAAAATAACAATTAGAAATTTAAAATTGCGTAGCCTCTACTTAAAAACGTGTGAATTCTTTTAATTAACACTTTATCATAGTAGCTAGAAAATGTTAGTTGGTTCTTCTTCTAAGCATGCAACACATAATACCTGCTGACTCTTTACTAAAAATCAAGTTTCTATTAAATTTGAAATATTTGAATTTTTAAAAATTGTATTCAAACAAATATAATTTAAGTAAATTATTATATGCATAGACATATATTTATACAAACTATCATACACATTTATTATTCTATTATCATTATTGAGGTTATTATTATTAAGGAATTAATTAATATTATTAAATAAATAATTGATCAAGGACTTAAGCTTGTTTTTTTTTTAACGCATAACACTTCTTATTATTATATTATATTATTATCAATATTTATATATAAAACATTTTTTTTTTAATTTTTTATTGAATCATAAATATTATTATAATTATTATTTTATCATTACTATTATATTGTATTGAATATATTATTTCAACATATCCTTATGGCGAGTATCTTATAACTTCTTATTTTATTAATAGGTTCTAGCTTGGTTAGTGGTATTAAGCAATGTTTCTCATATTAATATACTTTCATATTTTAACTAATTAGTTCCCAGATGTGTTTTCTTAAATACAAAATTAAGAATGTGTCTATTGACACAATACTTACAACCTCCACAATTATACAACTTATCTACGAAAATAAATTTTAAAATTTAATACAATATATTTAAATACATAAAATGCATATATGAGATAATACTTACATATGTTAATCATATTCTACTTGTGAGTAATTCCATAATTGCTAAAAAGATTTTATATTTTATTAAAAAGAAGGGTTTTTCATAACCGTAGTAGCAACAACTACAGTATACTCTCAACTGCATCGTACAGTACAGTACGATCATAAATTAGAGAATATTTCCGCGCCCATAAATTGGCAGCCACTTAATGCGATCGTAAAAACCTTACAAGTCGTCTAACATTGAGAAAGTTGCCAGCCAATTGCCAGACAACAACTGGCTGCCCAGGGAGAGGCTCGGCGATTTTGTTGCCGATATTAGTTACGTTTGGCCAATTAATTACATTGATCGTAAAACATACATTTCTAAGCGTATTGATAACGGAGATAAAGGCACATAAAATGCGACTCGACTGTGATTGTATTTGTGATCGTGCTATAGCCGCTGCCACAGTCGCTGCCACTGCCACTGCCACAGCCACTGCCCCAGTCGTTGACGGTATCAATAAACGCATCGTTAACTGTTTGCTGCTGCCGCTCGCAGCAGCCGCTCGTTATAACTGTGTGTGCTCGCATCTTGAGCTCAACGTTCTACGTTCTTCGGTCTTTTTGCTCAGTTATTAAACGAAAAATTCACACAGGGGTGCTGCCGCTCGGCTGTGGCAGCCACATCAGAGATTGGCTGGCAACGTGTCGCCTCATTTGCTGTGTCTGTCGCACATCTTGCATAATGTTTATTAATGCGCAAATTTTTACGAGGCAGCGGCTCCCCCTTTTAACGATGCCTTTTAACGATTGTGGGGCCCAAGACACAACCAATGCCCGTTCAATAGGTGCCAGTTGTTGTTCCTCGTGTTGCTGTTGTTGTTGTTGGCATGCAACAATCGCTTTTAGGCCTTAACAGCATTTTTATGGCTCATGGATGCGGCCGGCTGGCCAGTTAGTCGCTGCCTCTGCTGCTGCTGCTGCTGCTTGCTGTTCTTTTGCAACAATTTAAATTGCAACAATTTACAATTAGCCACGTTTGTGCTCCATTTTGTCGTCGTCTTGACCATCTAACGGTCAACCAAGTGCGCTATGTGTTCTCTGCTGAAGTACCACGACGCGTCGGCAATTAAATTCGCTATTTGCCGTTTGCTATTTTGCCCGTTTATAAGTTATTCTGTGCAACTTTTGCTCCTGCCAGCAATTATGCCTAATGCTGCTTTGAACAATTTATCAATATTTCTGACAGCACTTTGAGCCACCCACTCGGTCGGTTTGCATACCCTTATATTCTTATATTGTAACGAATTGTGTAGAAGGAAACGACTACAACATTTTCCATTTTTAAATATATTTTGAACAAACTCAGCAATGACAACCTTCAAATAATTGATAAAAAGTATAAAGTCGTATTACTATTACTATAGAAACAGTCTATCTGAAAAAAAGTTTTTGTAGGCTTGACAAAACTTTTTTTTAAGTTTTACAAATTCATAAAATAAAATAACACCTAATTTAAAATGTTTTTTACCATATCTTATATCTTGATCAGTATGACTTAACTTTTCTGCACGCAAAAAAATATATTTTCTAAGCTGTGAAAACATTTAATATGAAAAATTTTTTCAATTTAATTTAAGTTTGTGTTCTAAGTTGAAAATTTTCTTCCATTAAGAAAAAAATGTGCCCCAAAGGGTATTTAATCTTCGGCGTGCCGTACTTGACTTTAACTTTGCTCGGCCCTGTTGCCAGCTACTCAGCTGCAGTTGTTGTTGCTGTTGTTGCAGCTGGTGTAGTTGCTGATGTTGCAGTTGCTGTTGTTGCTGCTGAGCTGACCTTGACCAAGGAATTGAGCTTATGCTGCTGCTGTTTCTTGTGCGCACGTGGCGTGTGGGCGTGGCAGGCGCCTTGCGCTCGTGCGTGTCATTACATCACAAAATTTGCTAACAACTCTGATAGTTTTTTTTTTTGTTTTTGTTCAACTGTTCCATGAGCTAATACAAAATTGATAGTACGCCGTCTTTTTGGCGCATAATCGGTTGGCATTAGGAGCACAGCAATAAAGTGGGCCAGCCTGTAATTCCATTTGCCTCTCTAAGCTGCAATTTGATGAACGTGCCAACATTAATGCCGTCTGTCATGGAAAGTGCTGCTGCTAAAGTTAAAGTAGAATCTTATGTCAGGGCTGCAAAGTGGGCGAACAGCCTCAAGGACGTTTTACATTTGATACCCTTGCAGTGAATGCAATAATATTGTTTTGAGCTATGTAACACATAGAAAGTGATATCGCTGACCCTGTAGGTTATATGGAGTCATGACCAGCAGCACAATAAAGTATCTTTATATGATCCAATTCTGATTCCCTTAAGACTGCTAATGAAAGTATTCTTACCAAGCTTGTTTTATGAACAATTTTTTATTTAAAGCACCAATAGAAATAGTCAGTCGGATACACAGTTTTTTATCGCGTATTTGCTTTATATATTATATTATATAAGAGTATTAAATCTTCGGTTCTTTCGTTCTGTGTGTTAAAGCTTTTGCAGCCGGAGGTATTGTTCTGTTTGCTATTGTCTTTCATTTGTTCTTAAAAAATGAATTTAAAAAAATCTTCTACATGTTTTTAAATAATATCCTTTTGATGAGCTTCCTTTCCATTATATTCTTCCTTTACATTATATTCGACAGAAAATAAAAACTTTATTTCTCATAATTGAACAATAAAACAAATAAAATAAATTAAATAATAAAATACCCAAAATAAATAAAACAAATAAAATAAATAACGCAAAAAAATAAATTTAAAAAAAAATTATATGATTAAATAAATAAATAAATTTAATAAAAATTAGTAAACATTAATAAAAAAAAGTTAAATAATTGGAATAAAATAATTTAATAAATTAATATAAATAACTTACACTGAATTTTTGTTGACCTAAGTGCATCCACCTTCCTGAAGATACTTATTAAGATGTAAATGACTGCACCATTACCCTGTAAAATTAGGTTAAACGCGTTTTAGAACGTAAGCGCAGCGAAAGTGGAGCTGTATAATGGGTTCGAACATCCTGCACATTGTATGTGTCACTGTCACCAGAATGGAATGTGCTAAGCTTTTATAGTTGTTCAGTAAATATCCATGAGATTCGACCAGCTGTTCCCCTCGGCAAGGTGTCAATCACGCCCCTAGAAACTAACTTGTCGACACAAATGTCAACTGAGCAGCTGCTTTATTCCCGAGACTGTAGATGTTTTGGACACGCCCCGCAAAAGTTTTGACCTATAATTATCCATAAATGCATGTCAATAGAATTTGCAAACACCTATTTTTCGTGACGGAATTTTTAATTTTTCAATAAGAAAAAAAGATATTGTACATAGGACATAAGTACATATAAACAGCGGGTGGGCTTCTTCACCTAACAGCTCAGTGTAAGAAATTTATTCCTAAATTGCTTCGGTATTATAAGCTCGATACTATGTGAAATCAAATTAAATACACTATATAGAATTTAGGAATTAAACATGGCTTCGAAATGTTTGCAAATCCCAAATTTTGCAAATTCAATATTTTCCATTTTGGGGGATGCGGGTGAGATATGCAAACACTGAAATATTCCTCATTTACGACAATCTGCTCCAAGTTTAAGGAATGTGGCTAATAGAATTCTCGAGTTGTGGTTAAAAAAAAGATCTGAATCTCGAGTTTTATCGATACTATGCAAATGGAGTAAAATATAGACAAATAATGATAAACTCGTTCTGTGCACTATGTGCTAGAATACATACTACTTATATAACCATATCCTCTAGATTGTAACTTGGCAATATTGACTTAGCTCATCAGCCTGATCAGTAATAAATAAGCTTTGTGGGAAGATGCTGTAGTAGACATATATTTAAACAAAACCATTATGCTGTTTTTAGTTCTCTTTTAAATAATAAAAAATTAACAACACAAATAACAACAGTCAATAAAAATTTTGATAGTTTCAACCAATATTTAACGGGTAACCTTTTTTAACCGATCAGCCAGATTCATTTGCTGCACTATGGTCATCACGCTAAACGCAAACCTGGCCATCTAAAAATATTATTAAATAACATCAATGTGTTCTGAAAGATCCATATATTACCCACCCTTATATTACTATTAACTGAGATAGGAAAGATGATACCGGCTACAAATACAATCGGCCGTTGCACGTGCTGTATAAATATCATCAAAGTGGACTTATATTTGCGCTCAGCACTGATCCAGCTTGATTGAGCCAATAGATTTGATAAGTCCTTGCTATCTTCGGCAAGTAAATCGCTTAGGTAGCAGCAGGGAAATGATTCCAATAAGATACCCGTAAGATAAATAATCGACGAAATGCCGTGTATGAAATCCGAGAAATATAAAATGTTAATAATGGTCACTCCCAGCACTACGCCAACTAGCTGGAAATGTACAAATATGATGCCCGAGATAACTGGACGCATAATTGCACAGCATCTAGAATAGGAAATGGGATAGGAAATTTAAAAGAGATTCCATGAGTGAATCGTGAGATTGACTTACTGCAAAATAAGCTTATGGTCCAGAATGCAGCAGACGAGTTCATCATAGTTTTCAGCCTCTGTTTTATGTAAATCAGTGCGGAGATTTCGAATACGGTCCCTCAGCACATCGATGTGGGCTCGCATCATAACCAGAAATATGAGAGGATATGTATCCGAAACCAGAAGCGTCAACCCCGTAAGGGACACAACGATTTGCTCAAGGATCGATTGCAGCCAAAATCTTGTAGATCCATTATGCCAATCGAAGAGTGGATTGTAAAACAACCACGGCGGGTGCCCATTAAATACACCAATTACAAATGCGGACGTAAGAAAGGTCCCATATATTATAGCGTAAACTAAAAATATGTAGTTTGAATAAGCAACAGCTTTGTGAATCCTGCAACGATCGTCATCCCTATGCAGCCGCTCGTCCATAATGTCAAGTACGGACTCCACCTGATTTATTCGTGAAAAAAAAAATAAAACCACAATGGTTTTAGCTGTCGATCCACTGACGTTAAAAGTTACTTGGAGTACGTTAAAAAAATCAGCAGGCGTAAAACTCGAAAAGTTCTTTATGAGGCTAAGCACAAGGCCAACGGGTGCGTACAGCTCTGCAATAATAAACACCAAACAGGACCAAAACAGGTATAGATATCGCTGTACATCCTGATTTGGTGGTGTGTAACCGATGAACTTCACAACCCGGTATAAATAGGTGAAACATTCCCTAGAACGTATTCGATCCCCAAGTGGAGCCGGATTTATTAGTTGGAATATTCTGCTCATTGCAAAAGTCACTATGACTATCACTGAATAGGTGTTATATCATACTAGATTTATTTCGGAATGCCGATATACCAAAAGGCAAAAGGCTTTGTGATTAGGCCAGCTGACCAGGCCTATAATTAAAAGAAACTGCTCTTTGGCACGCCGAAGATTTAATACCCTTATAGACATATGCAGTTATGTTAAAATAGTGAAGCTCGTAAATGCTGAGCTTGATGAAAATATCTTGAAAAATACAATATTTTCCCATACAAAAATCCACTTTTCGACCGATCGTTCCTATGGCAGCTATATGATAGAGTTGTCCGATCCAGCCGGTTTCGGGAAAAGTACTGTCTGCAACAGAAAGACGGACCTATGAAAAGCTTCAAGAAGCTTTAAAAATAAGAGAATATTTCGCATGGAAACAGACTGACGAACAGACTGATTTGACTATATAAGCTTGTCTGTTGATGCTGATGAAGAATATATATACTTTTGGGGTCGAAGACGTTTCCTTCTATGCGTTACATACTTCATGACGTAATTATAATACCCTCTATAAGGGTATAAAAAGAACTCTCTCTGCGAGACTTGAACTCTCCCCATCGGCCAAAGACACTGTTTCCCTTCGCTTCATTCGCATCATTACACCTACATACACTTGGATTTGTCTGAAAAACGGACTTAACATAGTAACACAAGCGCACATATATAATAAAATCGCAATTAAAATTCTTTTCATAAAATTTGCAAAAGAAACGCACGCAACTTCTGTGTTTCTTAACATCTTAAGGAAATTATCCGTTGTCGATTTTGTAGATATTGTGTTACGTATATATATACATTAAATAAAATTTATTGAATGAAATATGTTCACTTGGGCATGTTGCCCATTTTCATTGGGATCAGTGTATCAACAGCTAAGTTGAAAAATAATTTTTGATTCAACGCCTACTATTACAAAAATATTATTATGTCTCACTTCACCTGATTCATTCGTGAAAACAAAAACAAAACCACGATGGTTTTTGCTGTCGCACCACTGACGTTAAACGTTACTTGAAGTACGTCAAAAAAATCACCGGGCGTAAAGTTCGAAAAGTTCTTAATGAGGCTAAGCACAAGGCCAACGGGTGCGTAAAGCTCTGCAATAGTAAACACCAAACAGGACCAAAATATATATACATATCGCTGTATATCTTGCTTGGGCGGTAATAAACCAACGAACTTAAGAACGCGTTTTAAATAAGCGTAGCATTCCCTGGAACGTAAAAGAACCATTACTGAAGCTGGATTTATTAATCGGAATATCCTTTGCATTGCAAAAGTCACTGTGACTAGCACTGAATCAGTTTAGATATCCTACTGAATTTATTTCGGTGTCCAATAGGGAGCTATGGTTGTGGAATTATGCCAGCTGTTAAATTGCACGAGTATGTACATATACTATTAAGACTCAGCTTAACTTTTAAAAAAAGATACTGTTTATAGAGTAAAAACTTTCAGTTCAAGTTGGTGAATAAATGCAATAGTTCAATGCGAGTCGTCATGAACGATGCGGATGGAATTTGTTTTATTTTTTAACTATTTAAGTTATTTATTTCCATTAAAGTTTTATATTTTAATAAACTAATTTTAAACTTTATAATTCGTTATATGTAGCTTAAAAAGTAAATAAGTAACAACGAGAAAAAAGGGCTATCTTCCGCATGCCGAAGACTTAATACCCTTGCAGACCGAATCTTTTTATAATGCTCATAATGCTTTGCTCATATCTAAGAAACACAGGGCAATTAGTTAATTTCGAGTATGACTAAAAATGTTCGATGATCGATTGCATCCAGAAATTGGCCGACCCTTTGTGCCAATTGAAAATAGGATTATATAACAACCACGGCAGTTGCCCATTTAAGATGCCACTCACAAATAACGATTGTCTTTGCTGTAGCTCCGCTTGCGTTAAAAGATATTTGGAGCACGCTAAGATAATCACCTGGTGTAAAATATGAAAAGTTCTTAGCAGCGCTAAGTGAAGGCCAAGGGGTACCTATAACTCGGAAAAAAATAAACATAAAACAAGACCAAAACAGATATAGATATTGCTGTACATCCTGATTTGGTGGTGCGAAACCAACGAACTTCACAACGCGGTATAAATAGGTGAAACATTCCCTAGAACGTTTTCGAGACCCAAGTGGAGCCGGATTTATTAGTTGAAATATTCTGCTCATTGCAAAAGTCACTGTGACTAGCACTGAATAGGTGTTATATCATACTGGATTTATTCCGGAATTCCGATATACAAAAAGGCAAAAGGCTTTGAGATAAGACCAGCTGTGCATTCTTCACGACTTTATGTTTCAATAAATCCTCAGGGATGCGCAGGACTATAATTAAAAGAAACTGCTGCTTTGCAATCTTAAATGTAAATATTTGTATACCTGAAACCCATTGAAAAAAAGGGTATAATGGTTTTGTGCAAATATTTGTAACATTCGGAAGAAGGCTTTCCCGACCCAATAAAGCAAATAAATTCCTGCTCAGCAACAATAGCTGAGTCAATCTAGCCAGTATGTATGGAATAGAAAGAAGAAAAGTACATTTACAGACGTAGATAAAAAGGCGTTCTCTTTTAGAGTTTGCTAACATACTGATATTTGAATTTAATAATGAACATCAATAAGTTTATTAGAATATATATGTGACTACATACATCTCTATATATTCAACTGTTTGTCCTGAATGATTGACTGACTGACATCGAGACTATGGCAGACCTATAATTATGTGTTGTCAATATAAAAGTGATGACTATGAATTATATATAAAGGTTGTGAATATAAAAATATGTACAAACATAAATATTTATTGGGTGTTTAAAATAATTTATGAAGATAATACAGAAAAATAATTGTCCTGACTGGCTGACTGACTGATTGTAAAGATTTATCCTGAGGTTTTTCTCTTTAAACTCCACTAATTAGATAAGCTGTAGTCGAAAGTAATTGACCTTTAAATAGTATTAAGCATTCATAGACTAATTTAAGGCCTGAAAATACATTTTGAGCCGAACTTCAATGTTAATTTTAATATGAGCCGAATTTTTAATTAATAATTGGCATAGCTTCATTAAAATCGTATTGAACTAGCGTTTAAACCAAAAATACGAAAACTAGCTTCATTAAACGAAGCCAATAAATAAAAAGTTATTGGTTCAAACCTCCTTACGTATTCTGTTAAATATTCGAGTTGCATACTCGCAAGACAGCCAGATTTTGCAAGTTAAATATTTCAAGCATATAGAACACATGTTTAGATCTTGCAAAACTAATCCACTAATTAAATGAAATCCATAATTCAATTTGGCGCCTCAATGATCACGATCTGACTATATATAAGCCACGTCAGAGGCATCAATAGGGGATCAGCACCCGAGCAGTGGATGCAACTTTTACTGCTGCCATTGTCAGTTACAGTTAACATTATTAGGCCCGGCATTGAGAACAAGCCAGCAGCAACAACAACAACGGCAACAACAACACTAACAACAACAACTCGATTTGAACAACAACTGCAAGTGGCCGCTTAATGACTTTAATAATCCTGTCACCGATCATTAAAAAATCTCTGGCGAACACACAAAAGAAATTCCATGGCAGCTCCAATCAAAATAAAGTACACGCTCTTCCTGTCCAGGTTTCAACTTGGTTTCGGGGGCAGCTCTCAGAGCTGAGAGCCAAGAGCTGGCGTTGGCCAATTACAGTGAGGCCAGAGACATTGTTGACCAAATCGCAGCCAAGTTGTGGACAGAGGAGTGTTGTTCGTTGTTTTCCGTTTTTCACTTTGATCATCGCAATGGCGCGGTTTCTTCTCACATGGTATTCAAATTTTTTTTTAACAACATTTTAATGATAACTTCAGCAAACATTAAAACTCATTCAGGCATAATAAACATTAATAACACTTTAATCCAGCTAGCGGGGCGGGCCAGGGGGACAGGTGGGAGCGGTCTTGGCTGCTGCAGCTGCGCGCCGAGCGCTATCAAAATAATCAGAGGAGCGGGCAAGATCTGGAAAAAAAAACATGTTAAAATGCTACAGTCACACGTGTCCGACTAAGAGATACCCTGCACCCGGGCCAGGCGTAATCGTTTTTACCTTGTCCTAGCCTCAGCCTAAGAGAAATGTGATCTTGAATTGCATCGATGCTTATTGTCCTATCTTTTTGAAATGTTCAGCACACGAATATGGCATACAAATATATGAAAATCCCGAAGACTAAGGATATAACTTTAATGGATATATTGGATTTTGGTAGCTAAAGCTATATAATTAAGATCTGTATATACTCTTGAATAGCCTACCTCCCAAATATTGTGTTTGTAGCTCTGAGATATAATACGAAAATATGATGTTGATATTGATTCTCGTTCACGTTTATAATCTTGGACATTCATTCCTGTTGCATACATGTCCAAAAAACTATTATACTCTTTATAACCATTTTCAGTGGGCTGAGGGTATAAAAAGAGTAGAAAATAGAAACAGTGCAATCGTGGACTGTGGCCGCCAGCTTGGAATAAATAATAGAGAAACTTGTTGTTGCCTGGGCGCGTTGTAAGGCTATAAAAATGCATGTTTGCTAAATCAATGCAACAACTTGGGGGCATGGCAGCAGCAGCAGCACAAACTGCGGCAGCAATAGCCATCCCACATGCAGCCCGTTGGACCGTTGGACCTATGCGCACATGTGTATATGCATGTGTATCTCTCTCTCTCTCTCTCTCTCTCTCTCTCTCTGTATGTGTGTATCTACCTGCCCACCTTTCGCTTGGCATCCTTCAGTGGCAGCTCGGGCGGCTGTGTGCGATCTTGCCACTTACGTAGGCCGCGTGTGGCAGGTTGCCGTTGCTCGTTGCATTGGGCTCAGGCCGAATGCCCCATACCAAGGTCTTTCTAGCTCGCAGGCCAGATCAGTTTGCTTCCTAGTTGCACCAAGCTGTTTCATGAATTGTGCGCCCATGTGTGTGCGTGTGTGCATATGTGTGTGAGTGTGATTGTGTGTGTACCTGTTTGTGTGTAAAACAACTCGCCTGGTTCTTTGGCGGGTTCTAAATGTCGCTGTCCCTTGGACTATGATGTGATTGGCCGGCTCAATGAAAATTCTTATGAAATATGCAACACAATTAGTTATTTTATGAGATCCTATATAGATATTAGACATAATTAAAGATACTAAAGTAAAAATTATTTAATATATATGCCAGAATAGAGAAACATTTAGATCGAATATTTTCATAATATTTTTGTATGTTTTCTTAAGCTGTTTATTTAAAGATAAAAACAGAGTGAGCCAAATCAGTAATAAGAAAAATAGCAAAACAAATAAATATTTTCTTTAATAGATTCTTAAAATGTTGAAAATTCAATACAAAAATTACAGAACTTAAATGAAAGCAAAAATTGGCGTAAAATCATTTAAATCAAAAATAATATAAATAAAATGAAAATTAATAATTATTAAATAAAAAAGAATTTAATAGAAATAGATGTAGATATCCATGTAAAAGTATAAACTATATTCTCTAATCTGAAATTACCTTTGACACCCTTCAATATGCACACGGTTAATTTAGTAGTGTATTTGAAGTGTCTGCCATATGCATTGTACCTTAGATTGGATTCTATTACTTTTATTTCACTTATCAAGCAAACATGTTGCCGTTGCACAAGCCCCCCTGCCGTTAAGTTGTTGCCACAGGAAAATGCTGGCAATGGTGGACG